AATGTTAAATTCCCAAGGTCTTTTTTTTTGATAAAACAGAAGTCTTTAAGAAAATTCATAGGATGGCACTCTGCTTTGGGCTATGTTCCAGATCCTCATGAGCTCAATCTAATCTCTGCCAGTGGCTCTTTCATTGAAGATGTTTGAGACAGAATTGCTTGCAGTCCAATGCTTTTCTTAGTTTTCAAGGCCCTCTTAACTCCAGTCTCATTCTACTTATCCAGGGCAAGTTCTGAGTGCAACACCTGTGCTCCACAATATTCTTAAAGCAGCAATGGCAAAAGGATGTTTCAGGGTCAAGATCAAATGCTTCTACAAAGTCTTCTCTGTTTCTACCAAATTATTTCTCCTATGTCTCTCAACAATTCCTTCATGACTTTGTTAAAGCAACAATGAACACTTCTTCCTAGATTCCAAATGTCTGAAAGGCAAGGCCACATCTTACATCTTTTTATGACTTCAGCACCTGCTACGCTGGGGTTTACAATCATGTTGGCTGAGTGAATACAAGGAGAGCTATATGCATGTATCCCTTGCTTAGGAGGAAACAGTGAAGAGAGTACCTAATCCAGTGCAGAATGGTACTAACTGGCACTTAGTCAGAAGGACTTTCAGTGTTTTCCATTCACTCACTCCTTCTTCGCTGTTCATTCTTCCATCAGATAACAATGTTGGGTGATGTGCTGGACATTGGGGATAAAATGAAAGACACAATCCCTACCCTTGAGTCACTCAGTGTCCGTGGAGATTGTCATTCTCCACAAACACAAATGTCCTAAGAGCTGATTTTTCAAGAGCTACTTAGCCGTAAGCAGCATAGCATAGATGGGAATACTGGCAGCTTGGGGCACTGTTAGCCCTCTCCTTGTGCCTTAATTGCTCCTTTAGGCCTAGACTTTGAGTTGAAATTAGTTTCAATTTCCTGTGTGCCAGGCACACTGTAGAGTGCTTAGCATGATTTATCTCATTTAGTGCTCACAACAGCCCTGGGAAGTGGCCATGCAATCATTACCTTTATTTTCTAGCAAAGGAAATGGAGGCTCAAGGGTGTTTCATAGTGCCTGTTACAACTAGACTACCTGAAGGGAGGGTCCACCTGACCCAGGGCATATGACCTCAGATTTTATCAAAGCTGGCAAAACTGGGAGGACTGGCTTAGTGGCAGTGGGTTAAGGGACCACATGGTAATGCTAGCATCCCTCCTTGGCAAAGTGCCAGTTTGAGTCTCAACTGCCCTGCTTCTAACCAATGTCCCTGCTAATGCACTTGAGAAGGTAGTACAAGATGGCCCAAATAACTGGGTTCTTGGCAGATTGGGAGAACCAGGATGGAGTTCTTGGTTCCAGCCTTTGAACTATCCTGGCTGTTTCAGTCACTTAGAGTGAGCCAAAAGATGGCAGATCTCCCTCTCCCTCTCTCACACACCTTTTCTCTGTCTCTTTCTTCTCTCTCACCTCCTCTCTCTGCTGCTCCACCAAATAAATAAATAAATAAATAAATAAATAAATAAATAAATAAATAAATAAATCTTTTTTTAAATGCTTGTTTCACAGAGCAGAGCCATCCTAGCAGCTGTTGGTAGAACAGGTGCACAGGAGGGTGACAGCTTAATGAGCTCCATTTTTAGGAAGTGAGAGATATTAAAAAGAGTTCATAGACTTTGGGTAGGATCTAAAATGGCCAATGGTCTAAATTGAGGTTCCTGAGAGAAGTATTTAAGGCAGCCACATCTTGTGTCAGCAACCTTGGCTTGCCAATTTTGCTGCTTCTATTTAGATTTTCCACAGGGATGACCAGAGGACACAAATTCACATCATAAACAGCACACAAAGGGGAACGTCGTGTGGTTGACTTCAGGAGTCAGAGATGAAACAGGGAACCAGACTGATGGGGCAAGTAGTAGCAAATCTCAAGAATTCCAGTGGGATCAGGTTAAAGAGCAGAAGTCCAGGACATCTCAAACAGAAGCTTAACGCTAGGTTTGAAAGGTTAAGAGGAAGTCTTTGGAGGTTCCTGCATTGCTCTGAGTCCTCTGCCATTGGCACTTAAGCTTTGTCCAGCCTCCAGTTTCTGCATCACTGGACATGGGCAGTTAGAGGCAGGAGCAGCAGACAGAGTAGACAGCTGTCAAGGGTGAAGGCTGTTCATGAAGGTGACTGCAAACAATCAAGACACCATTGTCCAGGAGAACAGAGACACTGGTGGCTTTTGATGAACAGTGGTAACTTTGATCACACTCCCATAAACACTGAGTTGCTAACTATGAGTCACACTCTATAGGAGAGGCTAGGGCCCGTGCCCGAGTCTGGGTCTGGGTGTGAGGTACCACCATTCAAGCAGAGGAGACCATGTATTGCAGGGTAGTCTGTTGGATGCTCCATCCAGACTCACAGGAGGCACCCAACTCTATTTTGGTCATTGGGTCCACCTCTCCATGCTCACTTCAGATAGTGCACCGTCTCCCTGTGCACCCCTGTAGGATGGTGCTGTTTTCCGCCATTCTGGAGTTCATTATCACAAAAACATTAACACGAACAAATTCAGCTTCGTTTTAACTACCCCTTTTATAGTCTTTTTAAAATAGTTTCCAAACCATGTGTATTTTTGTGGGCAGGGGTTGGTGGAGTAGCACTTTCCAACTCACACCTTCCCTCCTACAAACCCTCTATGCCACCCAATTCCTGGACACAAATCCCTTTTCTACTTGCACCCCCTCCAAAGCCTATACACAGCTCTGTCCACTGAATGGATTCCTGTCTCCACAGGAGCCTTAACTGAGGTGCTTATCTGCCCTCTATAGTCTCTTCCCAGGGGTCCTACCTATGCAGTTAGAGCATCGTCAAAACCGGGTTACTCTTTCCAGTCCACAAAAATGTCCTGACACTTTCCTTGGCATCTGCATTGTATCTTTTCCCCTGAATGAATAATAGAGCTAACCTCCTCTGCACACCACCCTCTACCCCCTCAATTTTTCAGTGCCAGCTTGCTGGAGCTATCTTTATTATTACTAATTATTCTAGATAAAATTATTTGTGAATCACTTTGAAAATGTTGGTGTTATTTCCAGAATTCACTATAGACTCCTCGATAGTAAGCTTAGAGCACTTTCTTTCCTTCATGTGATGATGTGCTGGGGCATCTCACTGAATGACTGACTGGCTGTTGATAATAACTCCTCTGCCAACAGCTAACAGAATCAGACTGCCCTGGAGTTCTGAGTGTAGCACACCAGGGCACACAAATCAGCAGCAATATAATGGCTACTAGAAGATTCAAGCTCTATGCTTATTTCATTCCACCTTCATGGCAATATTCTTGTGTGCTGGTCACTCTGTCCACTTTACAAAGCAACAAGGGCTATGGAATCAGTACTGTGGCATAGTGGGTTATGTCACCACTTGTGATGCCTGCTTCCCATATGAGAGTGTCCCTTTGGCTACTCTGCTGCTAACCCAACTCCCTCCTAATGGACCTGGGAAGCAGTAGAAGGTGGCCTGAGTTCGTGGATCCCTGCCATCCATGTGAGGGACCTAGATGGAGAGACCTGGCTCTTCGTTTCACTCTAGCACTAGCTGCTGCAGCCGTCTGAGAGATGAACCAGAGGATGGAAAGACTCCCTCTCCTCTCTCTCTTTTGTTCCACATTGTAAATAAGCAAATAAACCTTAAAAAAAAAAAGAAACAATATCTAATTGATTTGCATGACCTCACAGACTAGCACCCGTGACATTTGTCCATGATCTAGAGTCCATTGCTCCCTCTCATTGGCTCTGGAGCATGATAAGTTAAAAGTATTAAGTCCCACTGGGCTCCTATGGGAACAGCACTTCCTCGCCTCCTTACAAAAGATTTGGTCCACAGACCCATATTCTGGAGACCTCTCCACTTGGAAATGCACAATCACTCATCTGCTGTCTCACTGGGGATAATCCTTCACACTGAGCACAAAGGCAAGCATAGGCTATCCATCATTTTTCTCCTCCGCTGCCTTCCTAGGGGACATGCAGGTAAATCTGTTGCATATTTTAGCAAGGCAGCAGTAGGGTGACCATTTGATTCATTGTCCAAACCAAGATACTTTGAAAATGAAAGATACTTTAAAATGGCTAACATGTGTCAACTAGTCTATAAAACTCCCTTGGACAAGCGAGGGTATGTGGTACCCCTACCAGAAACCCAGGGTGCTCAGTGACCCTTCATCTTCTTTACCTACACATACAGCCAGTAACATTTCTGGTCAACCCTACAACATTCATTCACTCATTCAATAAAAAATTGATGGGCCAGGCCCTGTGAAGAAGATATACTCTGCTGTTGGGAAGCTTTCATTCCAATAGCAAAGACCTTAACAAACAAAGACTCATGGAAAATATCACATGGGAATGATGAGAACTGCACAGAGAAATAGAGGTAGGAAGACAAAGACACAAAGGAGAGGGAGTGAGAACTTCTTTGAGGGCAGCTTCCCCAGGGAGGCCAGGAGGAGGGGGTGGGACAATCAGGGAGGAAGACTTGGGGAGCAGAAAAGAAAAAGGGAGGTCAGGTGGGAATGAATCACGTGGGACCCCAAGGCTCCAGAAAGCTTAGGTTTTGTTCTGTGTGAGATAGGAAGCCCTAGATGATTTGTTCAAGGGAATGATGCAACCTAATTTGCATTTTACAAAAGAATCTCTCAGGCTGCAGGGAGGGGGGGGGGAGAATATACTGCAAGGATACAAGAATGGGAAAGGATATGAGGTGAGAGCAATTGCACAGGTACAGAATGACAGAGAAGTGTTGCAGCTGCACAGTGGGGGAGAGGATCTTCATTCAGCAAGACCTGTGACACAGATGGGCACCCTTGGGTGCCTGCAGTGTGCAATGCTGTGGACCAGGATCCATTCCCATCCCCCTCCTCCTGCCTCAACCCATCCCCCCACCTTCCAGGGCCCGATGTCCATATGTCAAACTAGTCCTTAGCTAGAATTTGGGCAGGACTTGGGAGGCCCTGAACACCCTTACCTTTAGCTCTGTGATCCTCCTCCTTCGGACATTTCCCCCCTTCCCACCATTTCCTCTTCAGGATCTCCAGGCGGTTGTTCTCCTGTAGCTGCAGGATGGCCAGATCAAACTCGTCCCGGAAAACTGAGCCTGTGGAGTCACAGGGGAGCCCAGACAAAGGATGTGAGTGTCCTGTGGGTGGCCCTTCCCTTCCCTTTTGCTGCACACCTTCTGGACACTCTGTCTGCTGTCACTGCAGGAGGGTAGATGGCACGGCAGGCAAGGCCCACCACAGGGCCACATCTGTCACCTTATGTCCTCCGTTCCTCCCTCATTCTTCTAACAGAAGGCTTCGCTCTACCAAGCGCATTTAAAAAATTATAATGGAGTATTATCAAGGAGCTTTGATTCTAGAATTTAAGTTTAATCACAAAAACTGACTCAAAAGAAGCTATGGAAAGCTCAATGTCCCAGCACAGGCTGAGGTCTGAGGTCTGAGATCATTAAGCAAAAGCTTCCAAGAGCCTGGAAAATAACTAAGCTGTCCAGATTCCATGCCCAAGCTCAATGATGGCCTGGTACACACAGATGGCTCAAGGGGAAAAGACGGTGGTGAAGGATTCAGGCAGAAGCATGAAACAAATAGCTGAGTGTTTTTCCAAATCTAATGTGCATGGGAAGCACCTGGGGATTTTGTTAAAATGCAGACTTTTGATACAGGAGGTCTGGAGTGGGACCTGATATTCTGTATTTCTAACAAGCTCTGAGGTGGCACCCATGCTGCCTGTCAGAGACCACACTCTGAAAGGTAAGGAACTAGATTCAGTCCCAGATCTCTGACTGTGACACCTCTGCAGTAGAATCTTCCTTACTAGACACACACACACACACCTGTGCTTGACACACCCACCCCAAGCCAACAGTACTTCATGTGTCTGTATCACTGATCTGGGAGGGCATCACTGGAGACTTGTATACAGGAAGTAGGGACTTAACATACACTGCAGTGAATGCTTCTACAGATGTGGTTAGGTGGTGAGATTAACAAGTACTCTGGATTTAGAGCCAATTGTCCATCCTAGGAAGAGATTTCAAGCAATTTCAACCCAACCTCACAATACACCAGGTACTAAAGAAATTTGCCCACTTGGCACCTGGATCACCTGATTAACTTTACATCTTGTTCATTTTTCTGTTTCGATTTTTCTGGATCTGACCATGTTGCTTATTCTATAGTGAGGTTCTTATCTTCTACTTAAAAGTGGCAAATGCTTGTCTCTTCATCAACGGACTAGGTAATTTTTTTTCCCAGCCTGATGTTAAAAAAAAAAAAAACTATGATAGCCACAGCACACTTTCCTGCCTTGCCATTCTTATCTTGCTTCTGGGACCTGTTAGGTTACATGGTCTGGCAAACAAGGCATCCTATTTGGAGACAAGCCTCTTAGCTTATGCCCAGCCCAGCTTCTCTACTGGGTCTATGACCTTGCACAAGTGACTTATCTGCTCAGAGTAGTGCACTGTCCTCTACAGGAAATAAACACATCTATTTTGTAGGCGCAATGAGTGAGTGGCATAGAATGTGAACATACCATGTTGTCCAACACAGAACAAGTGCTTTTCCCTTGGTTAAGGATAGAAATTTCTCAAGTTGGTCTGTTATACCTCAACTTCCTCCAACTTCTGTTCCATGAAAACTTTTTAGGGCATTTGACAATTTGTTTAAGTTTGATGAAAAGCTGGAAGTATACCTTTTGTGGTTCACCACACCATTTTGAAAGAAATAACCAATCAATGCATTTCTCAAAGGGGCCCATAATCTGCTATACTGATGGGCATCAATGCACTTGGATAGCAAGCAAAGGGTGTATAGGTTCCAAGTGCTCTGAGTGAGGCCTCCAACTTATATAACTACTGGTGTTAGAATCTACACAGGTGGTCAGGGATAGATCACATAATTGCTATGTTCATTTGCTTAGTTTCTGATCAGTACTTAAGAAGTCATCTACAGGGAACTATGGAGAGTGTGGGAAGAACACTAATATTCTTTAAGATGAGCTAAGGATGAACACCAAGAAAAGTCAGACCAGATTCTCATGTTTAATCCTTACAAAGACCTAATGAGGTAGGTATTAGAATTCTATTTTTATTAATGAGACCATTGAGGCTGGGAGAGGTTAAGTAAACTATCTAAGGTACCATGGTTGGTAGCCAGGATGCATTCCCAAGGCTTTCTGATTCCAAGTTAGGCAAAGATTAGCAGAATAGATATGCAATACAACTACAACGATGTGCATACTGACCTGGTGGCCTCAAGTCCAGTCTCCCCTCTGGGTGCCTTGTCCAACACTAGACAAGAGCACAGTCCCATAAGGTAGTGGCTCTCTAGGGTATGTGTTGGGGAGAAGGGTACATGGAAATCCCCTCCAAAATCAGAACAGCTAAGCATGTGTTACCCTGGTAACTATCAGCAGGGAAGGGCTCCTTTAAAAGGCACAGCTTTGATCCTCCATCCTGCCCTCCACAACAAAATCGGATGGTGCTCAGTCAGCAAGCTGAATGCCAGAACTGCTGCCTCCCAGAGGCCCCCGCTGACTCAGAGTAGATGGATCAGTGAAACCGACAAATAATTTGAAAGCCATCTCATCCTGTCACGTCAGTCAAATCTTTACTGGGGACACTGACAAAGAGCAAAATTAATTTATTTGAGTTTGCCATCTCTTCCTTCTTCCTTCCTTCTTAATAGAGATGTCAATCAATGTAGGAATGGTCAAGGGACAGGAAGGAGAAGAGAGGAGACGCAAAAGGCATAAAGTATCCACCATGGGCATCAATATGTTCTTTGATGATTATTCCTTTAATAATTGATTAATAACCAGTCAACTAGACCTGTAATAATATGAGTCGAGCACTGATCACTGATTAGTGGATGTATGTGTTTGTTTGTTTTTAACCTTGAAAATGCCCCCCAAAAGTCACGCAACAGGGATCCTTGAATTTAACGCTGCCTACAGTGGTTTTAGCTCTCCTAACCCTGCCTGGATGAAGCTACCCACGGAGGCTGTTCCTCTCCTGCATACCGACTGGCATGCCAATCCCATAGCCCTTGGTGTCCAGCAGGCCCCCAATCTGAGTGAGGTTGCAGTTTCGCTGCCGATAGTACTCGTTCATGGTGGACTCCAGTAGGAAGGCGTAGTTGGAATTCAACACCCTGGCGATCCCCTCCTCCGTGCTCTTCACAAACACACTGGGCTGCTTGGAATACATGTAATTCCACATGCGCTGATAGGTCTGGTAGCGGGAATTCTGGGGAAAGATCAAAAGGCAGCAGGATTGGGAAACAGAAAGGAAATGTAGACTTTCAAAGGAAGGGAGTCAGAGTGGGCCTTCAGGTGCTGGCCTTCTGCTACTCTAGCTCCTCTCTCAAGAAGTTCACTGCCACTGTTTAACAGCTGGACAGGGAGTTGTGTCCTTGACAATTTTCATAGGAAGATAGGGAAACTGCAGGGCCCTAAAGCACTGTGTATTCTGCTTACAGCTTGTTCACTGGGTTTGTTTCATCTACTCCAGACAGGTCTTCTGCTGCCAACCTCCAGTTTCCGGTGGGATAATTCAAATTTGGGTTGGGTCCCTGCACTGTCATTTGGTCTAGGTCAGTGAACTCAGCTTTATTCAGGAGTTCCATAGAGACCCCATGTGAAGAAGCAGAACCTGCAATTTTCCCAACCACTTTTAAGCCAATCCATCAATCCAATTCTAGATTCTGTGTTACAAAAAGCAATGAAACAATGAATTTTGGGGATCTGTCCAAACCCTGTGTTTGCATGATGCCTTCACTGGTCTCTGAGGCAACAAGTCCTGAGACATGAACAGAAAAAGAGGGAATGGGAAGCCTTGGACTTTCTTCATGTAAAAATGAGCTTCTTAAGCTTCTGTACAGCAAGGGAAACAATCAGCAAAGTAAAAAAGCAACCCACAGAAAGGGAGAAGATCTTCCCGCACTATGTAGGAGATAGTGGGCTAATCTCCAGAATATACAAAGAACTCCAAAACAACCAAAAAACCAAAACAAACAAGCCACTCAAGAAATGGGCTCGGGAAATGGGCAAACATTTCACAAAGGAACAAGCCCAAATGGCAAACAAACATATGAAAAAATGCTCCAGTTCCCTGGCAATAAGGGAAATCCAAATTAAGACATCGATGAGGTACCACCTAACACCAGTAAGATTGGCCCACATAAACAAGAACACCAACAACACTTGTTGGTGAGGATGCGGGGAAAAGGGAACCCTACTCCACTGCTGGTGGAGCTGCAAGTTGGTACAGCCTTTATGGAAATCAGTCTGGAGAACACTCAAACAACTCAAAATCTGCATACCATATGACCCAGCAATAGCACTCCTAGGAATATATCCAAAACACCTATTTCACAACAAACCAACATGCATCCCTATGTTCATAGCAGCACAATCAGTAATTGCAAAAATATGGAAGCAACCGAAATGCCCATCAGCAGAAGATTGGATAAGAAAGCTTTGGTTCATCTACTCCATGGAATACTACTCAGCTATTAAAAAAAACAAAATGCAGTTCTTTGTGGCTAAATGGGCCCAACTGGAAACTATAATGCTAAGGGAAATGAGCGAAGCCCAAAAGGTTAGATACCACATGTTTGCCTTGATTTAACCTGTAATTTTTGCTTGGTTGATTGTTATTTTTTGAACCTGTCATTGATACTGTCTCAACCCAGATGTTTTGAAGAATTGAACTTGCATTATTTTTAACATATTGTTTACTCAATACTATGTCAATTAATTCCATAACGTTGTATATTGATGCTGATGTTTTGTTGGGGATTTTAACTGACCGGAACTTTACTCTGTTAGCTCTACCTTCAGACCAGAGAAGGTCTCCCCAAGAGGCCACTGAACTTATCTGGACAAAAGGATGCTGGACTTTATGCTAGGTATATGCTTGCAATGAAGGAATCTCAACTGAACTTGAACTGTGGTTATGCAGCAAGGTGGAGGAATCCACTATAGGGGGAGGGGTGTGGGAGGGGTGGGGGGAATCCCCAGTGCCTATAAAACTGTATCACATAATACAATGTTAATAACAATTTTTAAAAAAATGAGCCTCTTAGATTTTAGGCTGCTTAGAAGTGGACCCCAGGGAAGTCGTCTACTTCAGAGATCTTGAATCATCTGGAAATTACTGTTTTGTCAACTCTGTCACACTGACAAACATGACCATTGTGGCCAGCCTTCTTCTGGGCCTTATAAAGAGATTTCAAAGAAGTCAGCAAGACCTCCATCAGAGATGTATCCAGAGCCCAGAATCATTGAAACTGGTTCGTCTTAATGTAGTGTTCCTCAAACTCCATTTCTAGCCAATCTGAATCTTGTATTGTCAAGCCCTACTTCTAAAATTTAACTCACTTTAAAAATTTAGGCACACATTGGGGCTGGTACTGTGGCATGGCTGGTAAAGCCTCCACCTGTAGCACTGGCATCCCATATGGGCATCAGTTCAAGTCCTGGCTGTTCCACTTTCTATCCAGCTTAAGGCCTGGGAAAGCAGCAGAGGATGGCCTGTGTACTTGGGCCTTTGTTTCTATGGAGGAACCCCAGAAGAAGTTCCTGGTTCTTATCTTTGGACCAGTGCAGCTCCAGCCACTGCAGCCATTTTGAAAGAGAAGCAGTGGATGGAGGTTCTCTCTCTCTCTCCCTGTAACTCAGCCTTTCAAATAAATAATAAATAATCAGATCCATTCTATGCAGTAATATTTTTAAAAAGCATTTGACTCCTGACACCCATGAAAATAAGCACGAAACAGTAATATTCTGAAAATAGTTCTACCTTACACCTAACATCATCTCATACAATCACACTTTGGAGTCTCATTCCATTGGTATTCTGTGGAGCAGGAGAAAATTGAGCTCCATGCAGACCTTCAAACTTGATGTTCAAAAGAGAGCATGTGAGATGATCAAGATGTTTTCACCTATGGCAGAGAAACATCTCCTCCTTATTCTGCCCCATCCCCAGTGGAGGTGAGCAACCAAATGGGGTTTACTTGGAAGAAGGTCATGCTGGAGCCTCCATGAATTGTGCCATACTCAATGGCAGTCTGGTCGGCCAGGTCGTCCACTGATTCAATGGGCACCTCCATGCGCTGCACAGTCAGGAAGGCTGCCAGATTGGCCGTGTAGGATGAGATGATGATCAGCGTGAATGCCCACCTACGGAGGAAAAGACCAGCAAGTCATCACTGCCTGGGGGCTCCCAGGAGTCCCTGTTTCCAGCCCCAGACCTGCTGAGACATGGAAGAGACCAGACGTCTCTCTTTGGAAGGAGGTGTTTGGCTTAGTGGAGGAAGGAAATGGAGGCAGTGCAAATGATGCCCAACAGAAATGAATCAAGCTTGTGAGCATGGCCTGGAAGAAGATGGTTAACCTTTCTCCTTACTCCATAAAGGAGGTGATTATGAGGTTATCATTCAATAGAAGTGTAGTCCATGTACTTCAGATAGTATAGGGAACCAGAAGCCATGAACTAATGGTTGAGCTAACAGTGTCTCTCTGAGAGCTGTGCTCAGTGAGCAAGTGTGCTGACCAACTGCCTTCTCCACATGTTGAACATCAGATACAGCTACCTGCAATATATCATTGGAAGCCCTACAACCTTGGGAATCAAAATCCTCACCCCAACTTTACAGGTGAGGAAACTGAGGCTCAGAGACAAGAAACACCCTGCCAACGTTTTACAATCAGTTCCACATGTTCTAGCAGTAGTAAGCCTTTAAGGAAGATGAAGAGGTGAAAACACCTTTAAGCTGCTGGACAGCTGGAATCAGAGTGTACTCAGGATAGTGATGTTAAAATAAATGAATAGATGGAACTCATTTAAAATTAGCCAAATTTTAAAACTCAGGCAGTACAGACACTAAAGCCATTAAAAACTAGTTTATTCACTTTAGCAGGTTAAATGTGTCTTTTCCCATTTGGCCAACAGCATCAATCTGTTCCCCAATCCTTATTCACAGAATGGGTTCAAAGATAGACTGCAGTACAGTTTGGGCCGGGGAATCAGAGTCTGAATCAGAGAGCCTGGGCTAATAGTGCTTTACCCAGTATAAATCTCTGCCAACTAACGCATGGAGTTCCACTACCTCTTTCAGCACCATGACCAATAACACCTGCTGGCTGCTCCCCAAGAACAAAGCATCAGGGTTGCCCCAAAATTAGTGGGCACATCCGCATTACAGACCACCAGCGAGGTGAGCTGCTTTTAGTTGTGGCTTTGTCACATTCCACCTGTGAGCCCACGGAAAAAGCATCTCCTACCCTCCCTGAGCCCATTTGTCTGATAAATGGGGGTAATAATGTCTGCTCTGCCTATCTTTGGAGAGTTGGGAGAGCAAATGAGGTAATATATCATGAATGATCAGTAATCACTAATCAGCAAAAAACTGGATGGATGTGAGAAATACAGAGATGTACCAAGAGGCCCTCAGATGAACATGGGATGGAAATTCACTGGGTCACCTCTTTGCTGCCTGCACTGCCTGGGCCTCAGGATGCATGCCCCAGGTATCCCTCCATGCTAAGCCTCATTCCTCATCCAGGCCTCAGCTTTTCCGGTCTGTAGGAAGCTGTTTTGTATGACCTCCCCCAAGAGAAAGCCAGCATTCTTCAGCTGCTTAGCTGCCTTGATTACAACCATGGGTTCATGAACCTTGGCAGTATATGTGATGGCAGAGTTGGGAGGTTCCCTCAGCCCTATCACTAGACTCTGGTGGCTGCTCCAGCCTGGGCAGCCACATGACTGTTTAGGTCCCTGCTCAGAAGGAAAAAGGTCAGAGGGTACAAGCAGCTGAGAGAGCAAGCCCATTGCCTCTGCAGGAAAACAAAATGATGCTTATATTGTCTCCAGAGGGATGTGTCACAGGGATAGGATCAGCTGTAAAGCTGTTAGCGACACTTCCTGTCACTGGTATTTGCTGAGGCAATCCAGGTAGACCATCATAGGCCTATCTTTTGATCTCTCACTCCTGCAAGGAATGACCAAAGCGAGACCCCAACCTAACAGACCTAACAGTCTGCAAGGCACACTGATGCTCTAACAATCTCTAGCTTCTCATTAGTGCCAAGACCCTTCCCACACATGCTCTGAAACAGCATTGCTATGCCATCAGAGGCCAGTAGAGTCCCTGGACTAAGGGTGGTATGACCTGCACAACTCACACCTGTGATATCTCAGGAGGAAGGATTTTCTGGGACAGGTGAAAGAAGTGGCCATGGGACTTGGCATGCACCAGCAGGGAAGAGATGGGCATCCTTAGCTGACATCAGCTATCTCCCTGGGCTTCTTCTCAGCATTTGGGGATATTGAAGCAATTGTCCCCACCAAGATGATCTCTTCTGCTTGGGGACATGAGCCCCATCTCCCCACCCAGTGGCTTCCTGGCACAACCTGGTAATAGGTAAACACCTTGTCCTAGTGGCTTGGGTCCTACTATATTCATTACTTCTCAGGGACATGGAAACCTCCACAGGGGAAGGGGTTACTCTCCCAGCTGTGCAGTTACCTATGGGACTCTGTCCCTGCCATCAGTCCTCCAAGGTGGAAACACCACTTTGCCTTTTCCTTTGGCCCAGTCAGATTGAGAAAGAGCAGGGAGCCCAAGGTTGTAGGTTCTGTAGGCTGTGGCGGCCAAATCATAGTGGATTTTTAGGATTGAAGCCAAACTGTGCACCTGCAACCTTGCCTTTGAAGCTTCTTACTCTTTTTCATTTCTTCACTTAATGATCAAAAATAGCCAATCCATCCACAGAGCACTTTTCAAATAATTCCCATACACATTGAATCCCAGGCCCAACTCTGAGCCTCTGAGAGAGTTTGTATTTTCCCACATCCACTGAGATGGACAAGTCAAGCTGAGGAATAAAGGCAGCTAAAGGTGAGGGGTGGGGGAGCTGTGGCAGCTTCTTCCTTCAGGGACTTCTGGCTGCAGGCTCAGATTTGCATAAATCTGCATATACCTTCAAAGGCGCAACCACTCACACCTCAGGTCATTTTCAGGCCAGGAAATGATCATGGCTTTGCTGAGAGCTGTTTTCTCGCCCACTCTGGCTTCTTGCCTTGGTTTCCCCTGTATCTAGACCCCAAAAGGGCAAAAATAGCACAGATGTGGCTCCATTCACTGTTCCTAACCTGCTGTCCTGGCAGCAAGCAATGCAGGGCCCCTGCTAGGGTCTCCTGAGAAAGACAGAGGCTTCAGGCTCTCCCATCAGAAACTTCCCCCAACCCCTGCTAAAGCTCTGGTCCCACGCCCTGTCTGCCTGGGATCTTACCAGACGCCACTGACACAGCGGGTGGATAAGGCGCGAGGGGCGATGGTGGAGCCCTGTTGCATGAAGCCCCCAACAGGAAACCAGAGGCTGTTGCCCAGGGAGTACTGGTTCACCAGGAGGTTGCACCGGCCCTGGGCACACGGGTGTGGACTGTACCACTCATACGGTGTCAGCCTGTGGGTGAGAAGGAACACAAATCACAGAGGTGGAGCATGAAGTGAAGGGAACAGGAGATACAGCAGGAACACTCATTCCTGGCCTCAGGAGCCGGCTTTGGGACCTTGAGGCCTGGGCAAAAGCACTCTCCTTTGCTGGATTTAGATTTTCCCAACTATAAGAATGAGGGCATCTGGAGCACTTAATGGCCCTCAAGGTGTTTTCCTTTAATCAAAGAAAATGCTCCATCCCATAAATTTTGGTTAAGGAGCATCCCTGTGACTTGAATTTGGGAGTGACAAGGGATGGGCAGCTGGGGAAGTTGCTTCATCTTCTACACCCACCACAGCTTCCATACAAGGCCCATAAGATGGTCAGGGCAGGGCCCTGGGGAAGGACCCATGGAACCATGGTTGAAAGCTCTCACCTAGGTCAATATATCTCACACATATATCTCACACTTAGCCCCATGAGATTCCTCAAGGCTTGTGAAGATTGTTGGGTCCTGTTCCCAAAGCTTCACAATCAGGAAGTCTGGGGGAGCTCTCAGTATCTGTCCACCCACTGTCCATACACAATCGCCAGCCTCTAAGGTCATGGCTCCCAACCCTGTTGGTGTTTCCGTTTCCCCAGGGAGCGTTTAAACACAGGGCAATGTTTGGATTCTGAGTTGGCTGGTTCAGGTGGGCCCTAGGCTTCGGGACTTTTGCAAGGTCCCCAGATGGACACACTCGAAGCCAGGTGCCTGCAGATGAGGTGGAGAACACTCCCTCCTGCAGTCCCTCCCAGCCTCAGAGCTAGCCGCTTGCCCAGCAGTGTATCTGATGTGTATCCTTTCTGGCCTCTGCTCACAACCCGGCTTACAGCCCAGGGAACTGTCCAGCTTTGCAGAGACGAATGTGAATAGACAGGTACACAGCTGGTAGGCAAAGTGAGCACAGTGTGTCCCAGGGTTTTGTCATCACTGGGTGCTCCTGTCCCTGCTCTTGGCCCAACATGTGCTTGGGGAGTGTCCTGCAGCTACTCGGTCCATTAGCACACACACATGCCTCACACACCTGAACACAACAGGAACGGGGTCTCGTTGGCCCATATTCTGTATAATAGATTTCTTTTTCCACCTAGCCTATATTCAGCAGCAATGGTTTGCCTTTATGGTGCCCCGCTTGGTGGTCCTCAAGACCACACATAATGGCAGGGACCCAGTGAGCTTCCAGAATGCAGATTCCCAGGCCCTGCTACTAGAAATGCTGGGTCTTAGGAGCCCAATGTCTAAAAATCCCCTGTGTGATTCCGGCAACCAGCTGGCTTGGGAATGCCTGCCTGAAGCTTGCTATTTTCAACCACTTTCACCCTCTAAATCTGGCCCAGAGGCAATAAAAAAGAGTGGGCTGAATGAGGTGGCCTTGGAACCTCAGAGCACTTGCTTTCCCCTAAATCTCTGGCTGCACCCCAAGCCTTTGCCCTCACTTCCACCCTGGGGAACCCTGTTTGCAAACCACTGTCTCAGCTTAGATGATTCAAGATTTAACTATCATCTATAAGAGAACTTCAGAAAGGTGAAGGAAATGGAATTAAGCGCTTGAGTGTTAGACCTCGCAATGATGATGCCCGTTCAGAGGTCTGTATCCCACATGCAGTGAATGCCTCATTTGAGTCCTGGCTTCTCTGCTTTTGATCCAGCTCCTAGCTAATGCTTTCCCTGAGAAGCAGCAGGTAATAGCTCCAGGTCGTGGGACTTGGTCTCCCGTGTGGGAAACCAGGGTTGAGTTTTGGGCTCCTGGATATGGCCTAACCCAGGTTCAGATGCTGTGGACATTTTGAGAGAGAGGCAGCAGATGGAGCATACCCCTCATATGTTAGAGTGTGTGTATATGTGTGTATGTAACCACGGAGGGGCCTGTTGAGAAGCCTCAGGGTACATAGCAAAGCAGGCTTTTCAGTGTGTGCCTAGTAGCTAGGCCCTTTTCAGAGTGGTCCAGTTGACCTGAAAGCCTTGACATGCCAAGCACAAGGGTTCAACCACAGGTCCTGTGTGAATTTCAGAGCAGTGGCTCCAGACACACGCAGACAGCTTCCTAAAAGCATCCACAGCCAGCACAGCGAGTGGAGAGCTGAAGTGTCAGACAGTGTGTGAGCGCCTGCGACTCGCCAGCTGTCGCTGACAACAGCTACTTGACAGTGGCAATGCCTGCAGGCCCTAGAGGGGTAGGTGGCAGAGGCACAGCCAACTAGGCTGCCGCTCGAAACAGCCAGATTGTAAGCAAGCCCTGGAGTGCTGGGCCCCCAAAAGCCTTTCCCGATCTTGGCCTGGATCTCTGTTGGGAGAGACACAGATGGGTGTGTGTGTGTGTGTGTGTGTGTGTGTGTGTGTGTGTGTGTGTGTGAGCGTGTATTTGTGTATGTGTGTGTGAGAGAGAGAGAGAAAGACTAAAAGAGACAGAGAGAGAACCCTCTTTGGCTGGGTGGGAACTGCCCCTGGGGGGTTGGGTACCCAGAGTTCTCTTTGGGGATCTGGATGCTGCTGTACCCTGCCTCCTGGCCGGAGAGAATGGCACTCCCCTTGGCTGTTTGGCAGAGGCCCCACTTGGCAGAGATGGGTGTCCATGACAGAACTCTTGGGCTCTGGCTCTACTGCAGCAGAGTTTCTGCCGTGTACCTAGAAGCTCACCCTAAGGAGTCCCCTGTTCCCACCTTAGCAGTAGTGGCTCCTTTATGCATCCCCTTCAGTAACCTGCAGGCTGGGTAGGAAGCCTGGACCCAAGGGGCCCAGGAACCATGGGGCTCTTCTGCTTGACATTTACTTGGCTCTCTGGAAGCCCAGGCTGGTCCCTTGGCTGTTGGGCTGTGAGCACATTCTTGGGTGGTCATAGCCTACAGAAACTCCTTGGCTTCTTCCAAGGAGCCAGGAGCAATCCCTGGTGTCCTTGGTGCAGGAAGGTTGTGGCTAGCAGAGGACCTGTTCTCCTAACACCCTTCTCACCTCAGTCTGGACCACCTATTTGAACATTATTATTAACCACCTCTCTATCCTCTGCCCTCTAGTGACTGCCCCCTCTGGTGAGTTTTCTGAGGCAGGTTTGGGCTCTGCAGAAGAGGCCTTCTCCCTGGCCTGCACACTGCAGCCTCCAGTCATATTTGCAGGGTTGGATTCTCATCATCACACTGCACTTTGTGGCAGATCCCCCTAAGGACCGATTCCAGAGCAGCTGTGTGGATAGTGGTAAATCACAGTGATTCTCTTGTCATCTCCTTCCCCTTCTCTTTGTCCCAAGTGGGACTCAAGCAGGGGATCTGAGACTAGAGGGTAGGGGATGCAGAGGCAAGCAGTAGGGCTGCAGTGGCAATTCCAGACAAGCTCACCCCTCCACACTATGCACATCAGGAGATGTGTGTACAGATGAATGGATGGATAGTTAGTCCTCTGCTAGGAGGGTCCCAAGGTCCCCCTCTAGTATGGCCCCAAGGTCTCAACGCTCTCCTCTTCCCACCCCTGCCCCAATGCAGTTCCCAGAGGTGGACACGAGGTGGCAGTGTGAGGACAGGGAAGGGGAGAGGAACATACCGAGCCACAAGGAAGAGGACACAGCTGACAGCCAGATAAGCTAGAAGCATGAAGAGCCAGACGCCTGGGGAAAATGGGTCCAGGAAGGAGAAATAGCCGGGCCTGCGTCCCTGGAAATGGAGATGAAAACCAGGGTCACGATCACATTCAGTCAAAATGGCTCCTGGGTAGGACAAGGCCAGGTGAGTGTGAATTTGGCTTCCAGTGGTATTGTGCTAGGTGGGGGAGGAAGGGGGTCTAACTGATGAATTTAAATGGCACTACTCCAAAACATCTACCCAGCACTGATCTCAGTTTATGAAATAGAACAACACGGACCATGTCACTTCTCAGGGAAAGTAGAATTGCTCCTCCCCGTATCTCTGAAGTCCCACCCGGTGTCCTCAGTAAATGGCATGGGTGGGCCAAAGGAACATCTACAAGCTGCTAGCATTTGTGGCACCATAACGGTACCCGCCTCAATACATCTTTCCTGTGAGGGTGGTATCAACACAGAAACTCCTGGATTTCCATGTGCAGTCAGATCTCCCACACCTCCTCGTGGGAGCCCAAAGTGACCTTGGGAAGCAAAGGTGATTAGTGTCTTCATTTACTAGTACAGAAGCCCAGGATGGTCACGAGATGCAGCCAAGATGAATGAGGGTACTTGACAACAGGCCTTGGAAAAATGGCAGGAAAGGGCAAGTTTACTCAGCTCCAAAAAGCTACTGAAATCTGTATCTGATTTTTTATATACATTTTATATGAACTTTTTCAAAGATCTCTCATATGCACAGATTTCAAAAGTCTTTGCACTCATATAAATTTATTTTTAATCCCAGTTTTCCAAGAGCACTTTGAAGGTCCCTTGAATAGTTTATAAGTATAAAAGCAATGTGTCAAATGCATGTCTTTGTTTATTTGTTTGTTTGGTTTGACTCAAAGCTCAGACCTTGCACCGCTTGCTATGGGAGAACATGCTTCGCCCCAAGTCCAGGCTCGTGCCTGATCAGAGGAAGGAGGCAAAAACAGAAACTTGGACCCCAAACTCTGTGCCATTTCCAAAAGGAGAGAACATGGCATGAGAAGGGAGGAGGTAACGCAGCTGCTCTGTTTTTAGCTGTGCTCTCTTAGGCAAGTCCCTGCCCCTCTCCGGCCTTGTTTGAAGCAGGACTAGATCAGAAAGGACCAGCGATGCCTATGGAGCACACGCAGCCTGCAGACTTGCTCTGTTTACCCACCGTGTGTTAATTGCCAGTAATAAATGAGTGGGCAATGTCACCTGGCAGTCTAGATTCAGACTTTTTCTGTACCGATGAAATGAGGATGACGAAGCTGAGTGACAGCTGCCCAGGGTCAACAAAGCCTTCTCTGCCCAGCTCCCTGCTGCTCCTCTGTCTTGCCCTGTGCTTGCTTCTCTCATTGCCTGCAAAGCCACTAGAGTAGAAGCTCTGAAGGACTACTCTGCAAAATGCTATGATTTTTTTTTTTCATGACAGGAATCCAGCAAGCCTATGAAGGATGGAACTGAAAGTTTGCTGGAAGCCGAGGGTACGCCTGGATGAGCAACCTTCAAGCTCAAGGCTACACCAGTCGTGACACAATCCATCTATCTGCAGAGACCTTGTTTTTACATGGAGGTTCTCAGAAACACACCAAAGGACCCCTCTATGTTAATACACAGCTAAGCCCAAGCAGCTGTCTGAGTTGTTGCCATCTGTAGGAGACTAGAGAAGATGAGGTGCTCCAAGCTTTTCTTCTAGATGGTTCACTGTCCCTGTGTGGGAATCTTTAGGCAATTCCTGAACCATCCAGGGCACAGTTTCACCCTCGCCTTTGGGACAATATCTGAGAGGATGCACAGAAATAGCATCAATTGCTCATTCCTGCCAATGAAGTGGCTGCTCTTGGGCCCTGTGACCTTTCCTCGGTGGGGTGATGACCTCTTGAGTGGTCTGTCTGAACCGGATTCTCTGCTACAGCTTAACTAGCTCCAGGCTTTGGTATCATTTGCAAGTTCTCTACCTCATGACACAGCCACATTTGGTCCCCACAGAATACTCAGGTGGTTCAAGATGAGCATGAACCGAGTTAAAGGGCAGAGTCCAGTATACAAAGAGAAGAGTCAGGGAGATACCATTTGAGCAATCGTGGTCCCATCACTATGTAATTGCTCTAATATGAAGAGTTTGGAGCTGCAGATTTGAAGTCCCTGTTAGTCACTGCCTCATCTGTCGTGGGATGACTGTGTCTCCTTTATCATCCTGAGAGTCAGGGGAAGACACAGAGAATCCATGGTAGACAGCATCCAGTAGGGATAAAAAAGAATCCTACCTACAGATCAACCACAGCAGAAATCACCTGCTACTTCTTGGCCTCAGGCTTTTTTCTGAATAAACCTACATGAACTCAATGTGTCCCATCACTCAGGGCTGTTTTCCTCAGTGTTTCTCACATCCGGGAGGGGAAAATCTTTCATTGTTGCTTCCTGAATAGGAAACCCCATTAGATGCTCTATGTCAGAAATCTATACCTGATTATATCACAATGAATGAAATTGAGAAAAATGACAGTACTATTTACAGCTGCCATATTTGGTTATGGGTGATAAGGAACAAGGCAAAGCTGTGGGAAAAATTCCCAGAGATGCAAGTTATAAAACACAGAACATCACACAAACAAGGACTAAGACATAAACACAGCTCCGCCAGAAACCTATCAGCCACGTTGGCAAGGCAACATCTGATTCCACTTGTGATTGACTGACGCCAACCAGAAGAGCAAGGAGTGGGCAGACATCTGAGATCTGAATCTGGGCTTACACAGCCTTGGCATGAGCAGAGCCCCATACTGTTCTGATGATGCCAAGAAGTGTGCTCCTTGCAAAAGTCTGAATGCCTACCCCCCACTTTTTTTTTGGCTGCTTTAGATTCCTTCCCAAAGGGCATCTGAATTACTGGTGCTTGCAGAAAATCAGGTGTCATATGCCATTGGTATCTCTTCCAAATAATAGATTTTCCTGAACTTAAAGGATGCATGATGGTGGTGCTTTTTCTTCAGAACTCCAAGTACTTCACTATGTTTTCTTGATTTCGATACCCAGTTTTCCATACTGACAGATGGAAGAATGGGACCCAGGGAGGGTAAGTGCCTCTCTCAAATCATTGGTGATGGCTTCGATTTCTCTGCTGCTCATTCGTCAAGCTGTGCCACAGGCATGCCATGCTCTCCCTCATTCCAACGGCAGCTGCACCACATCTTCCTCTCTTTTCAATATTTGCAACCTGTTCCAATCAACTCTCTAATTAATCCCAGACCTTGTCCCCAGTGCCAGCAGAATCTCAACCCTCTCTATCTCAGCCCCTCTAAGTCCTCTTAAACATTATTTATCTAAATCCATCATCATTTATTGTAACTCTGCTGTGTTTATAGGCATTTGTATTGATTTACACATGCGTCTGTTGACTGCATGTTGGGTCAATTCCTTCTGGTAAATACAACCACTTCAGAGACAGATAAGTGGTTTTAATAGATGGCTTGTGCCCCAAATGTCTAGGACAGGTCAAGACCAGCTGATGAAACTGACAATTAGATGGCAGCACGTTAGAACCATAGCTCTTGACTTTTAACTTGCTCTGCAGACTGACCACATCAGAGCCAGCAGCCTTGGTGCTCTCTGATGTGGGGGAGTCCCAAAGTGTTACTCACCAAACTCATATTCTTGGCGTGCTGGCATCCTCTACATAACAGCAGTGGGCTGCCCATGGAGCCATGAAGTGGCATTAAACTCCCCTCACATGGAAATAATTCCTTTTGTGTTGGGAAAAAAAACCTAGAAATTTGCTGATCCTTCACTCCATGGGTACCACAAGAGATGACACTACAATAGAGTATGAATCTGACTTCTTTCCCAGAATCTGAAGCCAAAGATATGGAGACACTGAAGTCTAAAAATGCAAGGCAGCAAGTGAATTCAAACATAGACCCTGAAGCCAGATGGCCCAGGATCAAATCCCAGCTGTATTATTTACACGTCTGTGACCCTGAGCAAATCACTTAACCTCTAGGTCATAATTTCCTCTTCTGTAACACAGGGGGTAATAATAAAACCTGCCTTGCAGAGTTGTTTTGAGAATTAAGTGAGCTAACACATAGTAAGGGCTGGATTTACATTTATTTCCATTTGGCTAGCAGTAGCCCTATGTGAAGTGGGAGGGAGTAGATGGTTTGTTAGCAGAGAAAGCTTTCATTTATGCTGATGCCTTCCTCAATGGACAAGAAATACTATTTTCTTTCCTATGGTGACACATGCTAAAGATGCTTGGGGAGGGAACACCATCTGCCTGCAGCCACTTTGTGTAACTCCTAGAGTTCCTGTGGGCTGTAATGCATGAATGATGTGGTTTCCCTCAGGACTATCCAAGGAAGCAATTATGGCAACACCAAGTTTCCTTCTGGAGGGGATAGCTCTTGGAAACCAGTGGCTCTACTTCAGCCTTCCCCAAGAAGTCACTGACAGTGCGCCAGATGTATAGCAGGTTCTTCCAGATCCTTGTAAGGGCCACATGCTCTCCTCACCATTTCCTGAAATGCATACTAATGTTATCAACTGTCTTCCTTCCCTATGCTCCAACCCTTCCCTCTCAAGGTCAATGACAAAGGCTTGTCATATCCTCTAGAGACTTCTGACATCATTAGAGCTAAGCAGCAATTTGTAGAGAGGTTTCTTATTACACATTCAACTCTCAGCAGTGGTCAGTGGTCAACAAAATCTCTCCATGACTGGGGATGTAAGAGAACACCATTTCTCCATGATTGCTTCTAGGAGAGGCAAAAAGAGGTGGTTTCCTCTGAAATTCATGGAATAGCTTGCCTCCGTGTGTCTGTAATGGTTTGTTTGGCTGATATTTTAGGTTAGCACTGCTGAGTCCAAGAAGAAACAGGGAAGCAAGCAATTAATTTCTCTTCACATAAAACACCCAGATGAGTCTGTGGTCAATATAACTCATATGTCAGCCCATCTGTTTTCATTTGACTCATTGGAAGCCTGGGGTAAGTAGACTAAATTCTAATCCTAGCACTGACTTTCTCTAGCTGAGTGACCCTAGGCCAGTCACTCAACCTAATGGAT